ACATCCCACTGAGGGCAGAGCCCCACACGCTGCCCTGCAGGACAGAGCTGGGCAGGGCAGCAGAACATGTGAGAGATAAACAGAATAAACAACCTTGAAACCAGCACAGACCAATTATGGCTTCTTCTTTGGCAGGGGGACTGACAGACAGAGACTTTCTACAATCTTAGAATCATCAATAGCACAGATTCCGACAATCAGGAGGATGATTTCTGAGGTAAGAAAAGCAACATCCTACATGGCGAGCACCTGCACAGGCAAGGAGCAAAGGAAAGAGATGCTCCAAGGGGATTTACCAACCCCTAGCAAGGAGAGGGCTTTGTGCCTTGGCTGGGAAATGGGAAGGGTGCTGGCAGCTCCGCTGGCGTCCTGCCGCCCCGGCGGAGCCATGCGTGCCAGCGATGGGATGTGCGTGCACGGGCTCCGTGCACAACCAGCATGAGGAAAAGCTTCCTCAGCCCTTGTTTATTTACTCGAGGCCCCACTTGTGTTTCACTTGGCAGGGAGAGCCCTGCGTTCATTCCCCGCGCTGCCCTGGCGCACACCTGACAGTCATTAGCGCCCGGGGCCGTTTTGTTCTCACATTTCGGGCGCTGACCCGCAGCTCACGGCTCCAGCAGACACTCCATCACCTCCCTGTCAGCGGCTCCACAGCCCCTGCCCTGCCAGCCAGCTCCAAGTAATGAGGCCTGGGAGAAACCTCCACCTTCAGAGAGACTCCCCTCTTCGCACAGACACTCCACAGAAGCCTTCTTGCTCCTTAAATTCACAGAACCACAGAATAATGAGGTTGGAAGAGACCTCTAAGATCATCAAGTCCAACCTATGCCCTAACATCACAACTATACTATAGAACCAAGTGCCAAGTCCAGTCCTTTTTTAAACATATCCAGAGATGGTGATTCTACCACCTCCCTAGGAAGACAATTCCAGTATTTTATTATTCTTTCAGTGAAATTTTTTTCCTAATATCCAAACTAAACCTTCCCTGACGTAGCTTGAGACTGTGTCCTCTTGTTCTGCCAGTTGCTGCCTGGTGGAAGAGACAGACCCCCACCTGTCTAAACCTCCCTTCAGAAGCTGTAGAGAGCAGTGAGGTCACCCCTGAGCCTCCTCTTCTCCAGGCTGAACGACCCAAACTCCCTCAAACGTTCCTCGTAGGGTTTGTGTTCCAAGCCCCTCATCAGCCTCGCTGCCTCCTCTGGATGTGCTCGAGCATCTCAATGTCCTTCCTGAACTGAGGGCCCAGAACTGGACACAGCACTCGAGGTGTGGTCTCACCAGTGCCGGGTATAGGGGAAGCATGAACTCCCTACTCCTGCTGGTCACACAATTCCTAATGCAGGCCAGGATGCCACTGGCCTTCTTGGCCACCGAGGCACATTACTGGCTCATATCCAACCGGCTGTCGACCAGCACCCCCAGGTCCCTTTCTGTCTGGACACTGTGCAATTATGACTTTTTAGGAGTTTGGAATATTTTATCCTTCAGAAAATAGCAATGCAGCGTGATGAGTGAACAACTGGTGACAGCTGAGCCTTGGTGATGCAACCAGACATTCAATTCTAGCACTCTTGTTCAGTGCTCCTTGTGCAGGCTGCTCCCAAAAAGGGGCATCTTTATCTTAGCAGTCACTCAGAAAATTCCTCTAGTCACCCATCAACAAAAGAAGAACAGTGTAATCTAGAAATGCAGAAAAATATGCTTTCAGGTAAAGGAGAAATTGAGGGAACAGCTCATCTGGATAGAAAGCAATGTGGCAAAGACTTGCAACATCCCTGGGAAGATTTGGGGAGGACTTAAGAGCATCAAGGAGATAAGAGCTTTCTGCAGAAATGCTTTGCACTACATGCTATGATCTGTGGAGGTCTGCAGAGTGCTGTCTCATTTTTTATATACATGGGGAGGCTATTCAGCTCCTAGTTTTTAAGAATCCATTTACTAAATTAGAGAATCTTATAAATATTTGCTTTTCTTAAGCCTTGAGCCAATTTATGTGCACTGAGACCCTTAAGCCTTCTCACCAACATAAATTATTCTAGGATCTGACTCCTTAGCAGCTCTAAATACTGCATTTTAGTTTGATGGAGACATATCTTTCCTTTCTGTTTACTTTGTGCACAGTTTTCTCAATTTAGTATCAATAGGGATAAACTCTGACTCTGTCTAAAATCAGCAGTCAGTCTTAGGCTGCAGACAAGTTTTGGACTAAGACCTTACAAGTTAAAAGGAAGGAATGGGAGACTTAAATTACTGGAGAGCTCCAGATTTCCATGAGAGAGAAGAGCTTTGTAATTTTTTTCTATGCCAGTCTCAAGGCAATGGGCATTTTAGTGATCCCTTAAAAAAAATTATTTTTAAAAAAGCAGAAATTCCAAACAAGCAAAGACTCATTTTGGATTTGTGTTAGAGGCTTTTTTCCAAAGCTCTCTGGAGACAGTATTGTTGAATGTGTGGTAATTTAGCACAAGACCTTATAGTCAGATCTAAAGTTGTAGATCTAATAAAATACTTATATCATGTTTTCAAACATTGCAAAAGCAGTATTTTACTGAAATATATTAAGTAGATGCAGATATTGACATTCTTTCCTAAGTCTGTATGGCTCACATGTAGCTTCTCTACAAGCCTTGTACTTAAGGTCTCACTTCTTTGTTCTTTAAACAGTTGGGCTTTTTGGAGGATAATTTCCCATTTGAAAGTTGAGGCACTTGTAGACAGGATATACACGGACAGAAATAAAAATGGACCTGAGCATGTATAAGATGGGGTGATTTAATGTAAAATACTTAAGGTTCTTCCTCCAATAGCTGAAAATAAAGGTTTTATTCATAATATAGGTTTTATTTTTCTTAATCCAGCAAATAAAAATGTGCTCGGTATTGTACAAGGCATAGTGAGATGAAGAAACCTCTTCTCAATTTAAGCAACAGATATAGAAAGAATAATCTGTCTGGACACTGCAGAACTGGACATTTAGTAGAGGTTCATGAAGGCACAAACAGGGTAATCATATAGTGAAGGAAGGACAGAAAAATTGCCTTAATCTTAAATCCTAATTTAGATGTTTCAAGGAAAAAAAAAAAAAGCACATTTTAAGGAAATTGGAAAGCTCTGAGTGCAGCAGACTCGTGGTCTAGTTAGTTAGGGGGTAGTGGCACAAAGAATATCAGCAACCATCAACAGGATGGCAAATGGCATTTGAATAGACATGTGTCATTCCTGTACCGCAGCCAAGTGAAACTACAAACACTATTAAAAGTATAAAGAGGCTTTAATTTACATTCCTGCTAAGGCATCTTTCTGTTGCCAGAATATTGCTAGTGGGCTTCGGATAAATGAGAATCTGGCCTTAATATTCTCAAACAGAAAAGTGAAATACACAGACATATTGACTAGGAATCGTGTGCTCTGTTCTGTTAACCCAAGGTATCTGCATGGACAAAACTGGCAGGAAGAATATGAATCTGTACCTACAGTGAATAGCAGCTTCAGTGAGCACAAATTATCTAGAGACTCACTTTCCATGACAGCAAAATTGGCCCTGTAGAATCATAAAGGTTGGAAAAGACTT